ACAACATTCATTAGAGACTCTTAAATTAAGATTTAACATCAGTTATTTCCCAAGCTATCTATTTCTCGGTTTATCCACTCTAGTAATTGATTTAATGCCTTATCTTCTATCGGGAAAAAGTCCTAAAACATAAGAAAATACCTTCATATTTTTAAAACCAAGCAGAGTAAAGGAAGTGCTAAAAAAGGCTTCCTTCAGCTAATTTAATCTGCAGAACCAAGGCACTGGAAGCAGAAGTTTCCTTACACTCCCCACTTTTTGCTTGCTGGCTGCCTGGCTTATGAATATCAAAAAACTTTGAAAATCTAACAAATACACAGAGAAAGTTTTGAAGCTTTCAACAATTCCTAAAAATATTTGCCAGAATGTGATGAGCTTATGACATGCCTAATTAAACAGTGAATTGTTTATTCACTCACAGGATAGCAACATAAAAAAGTCTATTTTAAGCAACTTATCTCAACAATGACAAACTCAACTTCTCATTCAAGCACTTGGCAGCTACAATCAGAAAAACAGAAGCATCAAAGCTACATGCAGAATAAATTAGAAACTAACTCAGATCCTGATCAGTTAATGCTTTGCATAACATGAACTAAAGACAAATTTGAGGAACAGCTTTCTGTTGAGTAGCAGAACAATGAAATAAGAAAACAAAACCAAGTTCCCTACCAAAGCAGAATGCAAACCAAACCTGAAATGGATCAAGGCAGTCAGAAGACCCTTGAGGGAGAATATGTATAACAGCTGTTAGGAACAGCATGAACATTGCACTTGGATATTTCCTAGATGATACACTGAAACAGAAATGTTGGTATACACTACTCATCATGCTTCTTTTAGAAGAATAGATGGACTTTACACACCAGTTATTCAAGGGCTTAATACAAACCAATACATTTTATAAGGACAGAAAGATCCCAGGTGCATACAGGAAATGAAAAGCAACTGAGCACTGGAGTATTTATTACAAATAGGCCGGAACTCCCATCTGTAAGAAGTCTGTCATGCAAGCTCTCCTTGATTACCTGCAAAGAAAAGTTACCATCTGGAAATTTTGCTTATACTGTTTTTGATAAAAACAACCCTTTTTCAAGTTTGTACTGTTTCATCAAGCCTTAAGTCACTTTCCCGTGTAGGTATTTCTGCTACTTCACCAATAAAGAAAAATGGAACTGGACCAGTGGCACTTAAATCAGTGCACAGACCAATAATCTACCATGGAGTTTTCTCCATTTGAATGCTTTAATTCCCCAACATTCATCAGGAACTCCCACCCTTGAAAAGAGGATTGGTGGGAAAAGACAAAAACAAAGGCATAATTGTATCAGCCTCGGGATTTCTGGGAGTCCACCTGCCACACCTGACGAGACATTCATAAAGATAAAGAAACTGCATCATTCTCTTGCTTTTATTCAGAAGTATACAGGTAGCTGGAGAGAGTGTACATCTACTATGTCTATAAGGGAGATAGAGGCATAGCAGAAAATTGTTACATGACAACTGTTATTTGTCTCTGTGACTCTGGACATTCAAGTAAAAAACTTTATGAGTTTTCAGGGTACGAAGGTAAGTTTCGGGAAAAGTAAGGAAAAAAAATCATCAGTGTACTGGTCAAGAAAAAATTACAGAGACAAATTTGAGTAGACTGCTACTAAAACTCAGTAGTGAATTCAAAGGACTTATTCTGTTCTTATTTTTGACATTTTACCTTTCTCAAAGCAAACATGCAAAGCCACTTAAGATGTACATTCATTCTCTCTGAAACTATTTCCTCCTTGAGATTTTATCTCACTAGGAATATGCTCACTGGCTGAAAGAGTAAAACATTAAGCAACACACAAGTCCAGGAAGGAAGAAAGCACCCAAGCCTACTTATGAAGTTGCAAATAGATGCCACTAAAATGAAAACTAAGCAATGCTAGTGATAAAAAGAGTCAAAACAGTTTTGTTTTACTGGCTGCTGATTTAGGGAGAAAAGCCCTCACCCAGGGTCAAATACTTCTTGTGTTATCATTAACCAAAGCACTGTAACATGCAGATACACACAAATATTTGAGTAGCCAATAAAAAGCACTTAAGAAACAAACTGAAGCAGCTTAGAAGGAAAACACAAATATATGAGTAGGAAACAGCTGGTGTTTAGAAGTAAAGGCATTAAAGACTTAATGTTTCAAGAAGCCATAAATTATCTTCAGAAGAAACCCACAGCTTTGTTTACAAAGAAATTGTTTCCTGCCCTCCCCACCCTCAAATACAGAGGTGACCCACAAATACAAAACTGGAGATACAATAGTAGTGCAAAGTGCTTGTCCAAATGATGACCAACTAAATAGGTGGGGAAACAGCAAAGTAATTTTTTAAGAGCTAGACTGACCAGCAAGGACACACTGTTTTACAAAATCCATCAAAGGCTACTGTATGTACTAAAGATTGAACGCAGATTTCACTGCTTTCAAGTAGAAAACAGTTACCCCATGGCAGCAAACATGAGTACATCTCTGAAGAAAGAGAGAGATAGTTCCAGGATTAAGGCTAAAAAAACCAAACACACAACACTTTTGGGTGTAAAAGTGCATTTCACCAGTAATTTCAGATTTTTTTTAACAATGTTGCTCAAACCTCTGAGAAGTGTTATTTTATAAAAACAAACATACAGAAGAGCAGAACTGGTCATAAGTGAGAGGTAGCTCAATAGTGGCTCAAGTTACACAAGATTTTCGAAGTCTGAATTATGGTTCCTGACAGAAATGTAACATACTTGGCTTGTACATATGTCTCAAAATCTGACACACAAAACCACAGCACCTAAGAATAATCACATTTGTAGACTACAACTTAACATATGAATCTGCTTCCTTGTCTCTCAGGTGTCCATGAGATTAGTCTCCTCTTTGCTACAGAAAAAGCCTAAGTATGTTCACATATTGTGTATAAACCACATAGTGCTGCTCCATATGATGAGCTAAAAAGAACTACAGCAGTATGCAAAACATCCAATACACTTGGAGCTTCAAAAGAAGTTAAACCATCCGTCACGCTGCAGTAAAAGTGCTTTGCTGTTAAGTAGAAAGAAGCAGAAATGAAAGAGAAGGCAACAGAACTTATGGTATTTATTTTTCTTCTCCGTAACATAGCAAAAACATTAGCTTAATTTCTTGGAAATTGTAGGATGGATGAGCCTAGTTACTGGCATTATAAACAAACACAACTTCTGGTATGAAAACAAAATTACTCTCAGTAAAAAAAAGGGCCTCAAAAATTTCTCAGGAAATGGAAGAACACTGAAAGAAACTTTGCTTGACCCAAAATAAAGGATTTATATCACTGCTACAAACATAAATCTTTGTTCTATTTACCAGTTCAGTAGACCATTGCTGCTTTCTCCTGTCTCCCTCCTTGCTATTTCCAAATCCCTACGCTCTTGCTTGGACCCAGAAAGACACAAGGACATCCTTAGGACTGAGGAGACTTGTCTTTTTAAGCTCTTGTCGTTGCAACATTAAGAAAAGAGCACATACCCAAAAACGTTTTCACTATTAGCACTGTCAGGCTGCCAAGAGAGACTGAGCAATCTCTTTCCATGGAAGTTTTCACGACCTGATGGAACAAAGCCCTGGGCAACCCCACCTGAATTCAGCATTGGGCCTGTTTTCTGCAGGAAGTTGTACGAGATACTTCCTAAGGTCCTATCTGAACTATTCTATGAATGCGCAGCTTTCAGAAAGTCTCTACATCTCTAGACAGCACAGCAGCAGGTGTGTTGGCTACAATTCCTGTATGACAACAGCCACTATTCTGTCATTTCATTCTTCGTCCCAATTGCCTTTCTACATCCACCTATTGTTTCTTAAATTCTGTAAGCTCTTTGGAGTTTCCTTTTGTACTGCATTTGCATGTCTAGCACTTGGAAAGCCTGGATTTGTGGCTAAGGCTTCCAGAAAATACAGCCATAGAAATAAAATGAAAACTAAAGTTAAAAACAAGAAAATAACCGAATATCAGACTCAAGTTTAAGTAAGAAAGACACACTTCAGTGACAATACACTTCTTAGTTTCTTAGTAGTTAGGAAAAACAGATGGAAAGACTAAAACCTAATGCAACGGACCAAATAGATATGGCAGTTCTATATATCCTTCCCCTGTTATTGTAATGTACTCATGAATTCTAATTGTAGGAGAATGTGGAACGAAAAGAAATACAACTGTTTAATTTTTAAGAGACTGCCTAGATTTATTCTGCTGAGAGGAAGGAAAGGAGTATTTTCAAGCTACCATTCTTCAGATGGTATAGCTGACAAGAGAAACAACCATCAGGTTTTACTGGAGAGAGAAGGGAAAAATATTTTTGCTAAACTGAGTATCTATTTAATGCAGATACACTCTTAGCCACTAGTTACTCTTTGCCAAGACAAACACAGACATAACTCACTACCTCTTAAAATAACTTGAGCCATACCTTTAACCTGACATGCCAAGACAGAAAAAGCAGCCAAAGCTGCCTGCACCATTTCTCAGGTACCTATTTCTCACTGGCAAACTGTTCTTTTTACTGTTTTTCTCCTAAGATAATGTGTGCTTGTAGTTCTGCAGGTGAGTCATGGACATTGGCCTGTTGTGGTAACAAACACCACAGAACCGAAGGAGCAGGAGTTGGGAGAGGCAGAAATCCAGCACAAGAAGAAATAATTTTATTGGCATATACATCAAAGAAGCTGAAGTTCAAAGCAGTAAAAGTTAAAAAAAAAAACCAAACCCAACCACCTTTCAGTTAATTCTCATTCACTGCATTGGTTCATCATGGTTCATCAAAATTAATAATACAGCACAGGCTCTAACACTGTACACCCTGGCCTTAGAAGTGACAACATAAATGCCAGTAACTGAGGTTTGGTGCATATTTAATTCCTCTCTACATTTTAAAGAGAAAAAAAACACCTGGAGCAGGAGAAACATGCAGTCAGAACAATTGTCCCCTCTCCAGTTCCCAGGTCACTTACCAGGTCACTTCGAGGTGCTTCCTGATAGTCTGCTGAAAAGCAGGACGTTGAACTCCTTGTGCTGTTGCTCTCACTGGCTTGCCGTGGAGGCTGTGCATATTGCCTGTATGTAGCACTCTTTGGGGTCCAGCGAAACAGGTTGATTGACTCACGAACACAACGCTCAATGTCAATCTCTGATCAGGGATTTAAAGAATAAAAAAAGAAATGCAATCGTGAAAAATCAGTAAAGCAAATGAACTGATCTATGACATTGCTAAATATGCATATATCCATCTATACTTCTGTCTGTCTCTCCCCCCCTTAAAAGGCACATAGTTTTTAAACACATTTCCCCATTAAGCAAAAACACTTCAGAAATTTTTTGCAAAAAACTAGCAAAGATGTTTTGAGCATTACTGTTATCCCTAGTTATGTATGGAAATACAGCAAGCTGTTTAAGAGAAGTGTAACAGAGCTTTAACTACTGCAGAGACAGCAATATAATTGAAGCCTAGTCATTGTAAGGCATCTTCATTGAATGTCTTTCAGACTATTGACTCTTAAACATAAGATCAAAAGTACACTCCACGCAGTGTATGGACATCAGGATTTTTGGATCAACTGAGTGCCTTATTTGTCACCTAAATAATGCTGTAAGCCAGACTGAAAACTTCCCGTTGTTGAACTTTGCGTGGCCTGCCATTTTGACAAAGCTACATGTTACCTGTCTGGTGGAAAACAGTTCTCAACACCAATTTGTGCTTGATGGCAAGCAGAGTGGGTTTGGTTTAGAGCTCCCCCCCTCCTTTTTTTTTTTTTTTTTTAAAAAAAAAAAAAAAAAAAAAGAGTCCAAAACCCAACCAGACATTCACAGCGAAACATTCTGTCTGAAGGAGACAAGTGCCATGTGTGACAAAATACCACTCAACTTGGGAGGAAAGCAGACAGCCGTCAAATGAGAAGCATCCTAAAATAAGCTGTGGACAAACAAAAAGTACCAAAGCATAATGAAAAATATATGCGAAAAAAAAAAAGTAAACCTATCACAAACATTGGTTTTGCAACATCAAGCATCCGTCATGTATCTGTCTTCTAACAAGATGTAACATAAAAGTAACTTATTTTTCTATCAAGATAAAAAGTCTGGTTAGTTTTGCATCTTCTGTCTGCAGTCTCATGGAGAGAAAAATTATTCTAGCTTGCATTTTCTGACAAACCTAGTGTGCATCGGACAAACAATGGGTTTATATTAGCAGTTCCTTCTTGTGTCTGTCCCAAGCATCTTAGATGACTGAACACAGCACTCACAATTTACAGGACTGAAGCATCAGCTTCTGTGAAGAAAATAGAGGCACTGTAGCCAAGCTTCATCTGTGTATCTCCAACAGAGTTGATGCACTGCCATCAATCATTCATTGTCATCAACAGAGTTGATGCACTGCCATCAGTCAGGGATTTACTCCAGAAACCTCAGTCATTTAGCAGAGTGGTGAGCAAAAGAAGCTGAAACTGAAGACTGGGTTTAAAATCTGAATGAATGATGTGATCTATTAATCTCCTCTCCCATTCAAAAAGCTGTCCCTATTCAGGCAGGATACAACCTGTAGCATATGCTTTATTTCCACTGAAGACAAGATGCTTATGTGCTATCCTGCTTCTGAAAAATCTGGAACTAAAGCTGTGGTTTACCTAATTTTAATTCTACCTCTAAAACCTTTTTTCTGGATGTCAAAGTAAATCACAATTTTCCTTAACTGCACCATGTTCCCTAGCTACCTGGGATAATACTTGCCAATGACAATGCGGTATCTCAACAGTAACTAACAAGGTTCCATTTTGTGATAAAAACATACTAAATTTTTCATTTTGAATATATTGTAATGGAAGGCTGTTACTGAGTATCATTCCCAAGGAAAATCCATGCAACTGGAAAATTTTACACCAATTCTAAATTCAGGTAAAGACAGCAGATGCCTTTCACTGGTTATTATTGCTAGAGCTCAGAACAGACCGCAGTCATTACAGTCACACTTTCTCTACATTTCTGAAGACTTATTTTATTTATAAAAAGTTGAGAATTTAATTTCAAAGCTGTAGTACATTTATGGTTTCCTTTTTTTTTTTTTTTCTTTTTTCTGCAAAGAGACTGCTATAACGGTGAGTTATAGGCCTGTCTCCTGAGATTCCTAGCTAAGGAAACATTAGCAGTACTTTTTAATAAGTGAGATGAAAGTAGAATTTAGCCAGTAAAAAACCCCAAATAATCTGAACAGCAATAATTAATAATATGAGAAACTTTCGTTTCTAGAGGGCATAATAGCCTACAAATACCTGAAATTGAAAACAGAGAACTGGGGGAATGGACTAGGAACACTATGTGCAGCAGAAAGTTATGAAAAATTTAAAAGCAGAAATTGAGATAGACAGAGTTCAGACCACAAAAATATTTTTCCTAGAAACAAGCTCTGTAATTCCAAAAGGAATCCATTTAGAGAACTGAAAAATGCAGCAATGAGTTTCCCTAGAAATGATAACCAGTTCTCTCACATAAGGGTGTAGGTAAAAGAATTAGGAGTCTGCTGTTCTGTGATTCTTTGCTGTTTGGTTTCCTGTTTCTTCTAAGCAGCATTTCAGGAGGACAGTGGCCATGCCTGAAAATGAAATTCCATGGAACAAGAAGGAATTTTAAATGGTTTGGAAGGGAGGTTGTCAAAAGCCTAACACCAGTTTACAGTCTACTGATTAACTAATCTACTTCTAAGTAATACAAAATAAAATAAAAAAAACAAGTAGATTGGGGTTTCTACAAGCAATAATAAAAAAATGCACGCGTATAGGTACATGTATACATAGGTACATGTATATTTACATGCAAATGGTCAAGAAGGGAGACAAGACTATTGGTAGTGAAAGAATTTACTTTTTTTAAAACATTCTTTTTTTAAAAACCATTAGTTTCAGGATACTGGAATTTAAGACAACATTAAACTCGTGTAAATATTTACAGAATATTTATTAGTCACACTGCACAAATAAGCTTCACACTTGAGTAACCGTCAAGCCTGTCTTCATCCTCTGTTCGAAATTTTGGTTTAAGAAAAATCGCTTCCCTTCAGTAACTGAAATGCAACGCAATCTTTGGCAGCCTTGCTGGATAAGATCTTTTCTCTTCCTTTTGGCTAAAAAGTAAGGGTCTGCTGTGCTACTTGAATTCTGATTTCCTCCCATGCCCTTTCAAATATATGACAAATGAGTCAGTCTCCAATTAAATGCCCATCTTTTGTTATCGCACCAAGACTTTGCATTCAGACGGTACTAATCCTGCTTGTACTCTTCCTGCTCTCAAGTAACTGTGTTACAAGCCAGAAAACACGAAAGCTTACACATTGTTAAAAACACACTGTTGGTATATCAGAAGGGTAAATATATCAAGCCAGTGCCTAGATTATTGAGCAGGGCTATGAACAAACGAACAGAGAGTACCTCACCAGGACGCCAGACTACTTGTCACATGCAAACAACTTTGAAGAACATCCTTCTGGGAGCAGGCTCTGCACAAATCTCAAGGCACCAGCAAGAAGCAAACAGAAACATTTCGAAAGGACAGGGAGGGCCTGCTCACTCATGGACAGGAACGTATAGAATCTCTCTGCTCTCCAAGGTCCCAGCATGGGGGTGTTTTGTAGTTTAAAAAGCATGTGACTTGCATTCTTATTCATACAAATTATCTTAATGGAAAAATCCATAATGAAAATGTGCTGACATAACATGGTGTCACTAACTGAAGTATGCACCGAAAAAATTTAAGCCTAGCTTTAAACATAATATAAATACTATAAAAATAAGTTCTCATTTCAAGATTTAGTACGTCTTCAGGCACTCTGGTTTTCAAAAAGTGCAGAGCACCTGCATTTCAAAAAGCCAGAGTTGGCACCCAAGTACCCAGGAACTAAAAATCACAAGTTTAATTTTAAAGCACAGGTTTTAGGAGTCCTGGCTCAACTGAGCTCAAGTATTTCACAGTCAAGAAGCAATTAAGTCTTACAGGAAACAACTCTATGGCATCAGCTGATTACTCCATTACTTGGCACCAAAAGACTTTTCCTGAGACTTTTAAATATGCAAATAATACGGGAATTGAAAAAGGAGGGGGTGGGGAAGCAAACAGAAAGTGATCTAATAGTAATATCCTGGTTTAGCCATGGCCCCATCCCAATATTAAGCCTATTGAAATATTTTGCTCTTTTTCTGAACTAAACTTCCTGGTTGCTCTAAGATGTTAATTCATTTTGCTCTGTTCATGCTAAATTATCACTCCCTACCAAGCTGCTGCCTCCCTCTGTCAACAGCCTCAACTGAAAAGCACGGCCCAGCCTGACATAGCTGCTTTTTAAGCTACATAGTGTTTATTAATATAGACACAGGAGAGAAGTAGAGCGCATTTGAAATAGATGTTAAAAAGAAAGCATCTGTTTAAAGGCAGTACACCTGTAACAAAAGCACATAGAATTCTTTATTTCTGCAGCAAAAACGGATGTGAATACGTTGTTCACAGCAAGTGAAAGCAAATAATGGAGAAAAACATAACATGAATGGTTCTTTCTTAATGAAAATGTACACAGACCGAGTCTTTGTGTGCAGCTAATCAATTCCAGAGCCTTTGCTTAGGTAACAGGACATCAGTTAAGAAATCAGCGCAAAATAAACAAATAAACTACTTCTGCATTTTGGAAACAGCCCAGAATTATGGGCTTGGTTTGACATCTCCATCACAAATACTTTATTACTACCCTGCCAGGCAACATCAGCTTTCACCACATAGCCACATAAATAGACCAGAAAACTTCCGTGCTACAAAAGCAGGGAAGCTGAATAGGTCAGTCAGTTCAATCTCACGATTCCTGCTCTCAGAAGATATAGAAGTGAAAGCCCATAAAACTTCTATTTTCTGATGACATACAAAAAGATACAGTAAGCCTAGATATTTAGAAGGGCAAATCTAGGAAGAGAAGTGACTTTTCTATCTAGCATCTCTGATCTATTACTGCTAGAAGGTTACTAGAAACAAAAAGGTCAATGCAAAATTATTCTTTTTATGTATTTAATATAGGATAATTGTATTATTTCATTGTTTTGTGGCTAGCAATTTGCTCTTACACACATCAGCATCCCTTTCAGTGCATCTTGCAACAAA